AAGCCGTATGAGGGGAAGACTGATCCCCAAGAGCATTATAGCCGCTATCAAAATAGCATGATGATGATGGGGGCCTCGGATGAATACTTATGCCGTTGGTTCCTTTCCACCTTGGAGGGACCAGCGTATGAGTGGTTCAACCGGTTGCCCGAAGGCAGCATTGATTCTTGGCAAGAACTTGCCCACCGCTTCCTTACGCAATTTGCTGGGAGGCATCGCTCAAAGAAACACTTCTCCCACCTCCTAAACGTGGGAGACAACAGAAGGAGGAAACCCTTCGGAGTTTCCTGGAACGCTGGAGGCAGGCCTCCCTCGAGGTCGAAGGCGCCGATGACAGGACGCTGATGGCCCTCTTCCACACCGTCCTCCGCAACGGTAACTTCTCTCGAAGCCTTATCACTGATCCCCCCCGCGATTATACAAAGGCCCTTCAGCGGGGGGACCGATACGCTGAAGCGGAGGAAATCGAGAAGGACCGCCGCAACACGGATCCTTCCCAGAAGAATGAAGGCAGGAATCGGCCCGGAGGACCTCCCCCTCCGGTCAACCGAGAAGCGCAATACAACGATCGCCCCCGAGGTGGCCAAGCCAGAACCGGGGGCGGTTATAAGAATAATCCGAAGGCATGGGCGCAACCCGTCCTCCTTGAGCACCCACGCACTCCCTTGACGCATCCCGTCAGCGTCATCCTTGATCATGCGGAAGAGCGGGGGCTCGTTGAGCGAGACTCCCGTACACCCCTCGAGATCTATGCCATCGGCCCTGATGAACCATATTGCCGCTTTCACCGCCACCATGGGCACAAAACCGACGACTGCCACCAACTGAAAAACGCAATTGAGAGGCTGATACAGGCGGGCCACTTATCTCAGTTTATCAGGGGCCCTCCTCCCCAGGGCCCCCTTCATCATCAAGGGCCTCCGCCGAAGGCAAACAAGTGGGTAAACCCCAACACCATCCCCTTGGGGAACCCACAGGGGAAGAAGCGAGAAATTGGGGGCCTCGAAGATGAGGGGGAAGGCTCCCATCAACAATACAAGCGCCACATTCACATGATCAACGGCGGGAACACCGGGGGCGATTCAACAAGCCAAAGGAAGAAATGGGCGCAGTCCCTTTACATTGGGGAAGTTAATCACATGCCCCCGACTAAGAGGCCGAGGGCGGATCCCATCTTCTTCACGGATGCGGACCTCCCCTCGGGTTCTCTGCCGCATAGGGATGCCCTCGTCATCCGCACTGAGATCAACGACGCCATCATCCATCGGACTTACGTCGACACGGGGAGTTCGGTCAACGTCATGTATCTCAGCACTTTTCAAGAATTGGGACTCGACAGGGGGTCCCTTCGGCACATCAACACCCCCCTCTCCGGATTTACGGGGGACAGCATAGACGCCGAGGGCGTCATCACACTCATGGTCGAATTCGGCGACGGATCCCATAGAGCCAAGCTCGAAGTGGAGTTCGTCGTCGTCAACCTCGACTGCGCACACAACATCATCCTCGGTCGGCCCGCCCTCGAGGACTTGGAGGCCGTCATCTCTATGAGGCATCTCTGCCTCAAGTTCCCCACACCCACCGGCATTGGCTACTCGAGGGGGAATCAGAAGCTCTCCAGGGCCTGCTACCTTCAGCTCACCAAGAAGGTTAGTAAAACTGAACTTCGTGTTGACACAATCACCACCAAAGCCTTAGAAGAAGAAGAAAGTAGGCCGAGGGCTGAGCCTGCCGAAGAGACCGAAGACTTGATACTCGATCCGGCCAAGCCGGAGAGGGTCCTGAAGATCGGAGCCAAGCTCCCCGAAGACCTGAGGACTGGCATCACCAAAGCCCTCCGCGCCTACTCCATTGTTTTTGCATGGGGGCCGGAGGATATGCCAGGAATTGACCGAAGGGTTATCACCCACCGCCTAGCGGTGGACCCTTCGGCCAAACCAGTACAACAACGAAGAAGACCCCTCTCGGCCGAGAGAAGGGAGTTCGTGAAGAAGGAGGTATCCATGCTCCTCTCCATCAAACACATTAAGGAGGTGAAATACCCTTCTTGGTTGGCGAATGTAGTCCTCGCACAAAAGCCTCCTACTTTCCGCATGTGCGTGGATTACACGGACCTGAATAAGGCATGCCCTATGGACCCCTTCCCTCTGCCAAACATTGATCAGTTGGTGGATGAGACCGCCGGATGCGAAATCATGTCATTCCTCGACGCATTCCGCGGATATCATCAAATCTACATGCACGAGGAAGACGCTGAAAAAACAGCCTTCATGACACCCGAAGGCATCTTCTGCTACCTTGTGATGGCCTTCGGCCTCAAGAATTCAGGCGCCACCTACACCCGAATGGTGGCCAGAGTCTTTCAAGCCGTCCTGGGACGCACCATGGAGGCTTACGTTGACGATATGATCGTCAAAAGTAAGAGGGCAGGCACCCACGCCGACGACCTCCGGGAGATCTTTGCCATCATGCAAAAATTTAACCTCCGGCTAAATCCGAAGAAGTGCACCTTCGGCGTACAAGGAGGGAAGTTTTTAGGCTACATGGTCAGCAGAAGGGGTATTGAGGCCAACCCCGAGAAAATTCAGGCCATCATCAACATGGAGCCCCCGCGCAACGTCAAAGAAGTCCAACGGTTGACGGGTCGCCTGGCAGCCCTCAACCGTTTCCTCTCAAAGTCAGCTGAGAGGGCTCTCCCCTTCTTCCAAACCATGAGGAAGACGGCGGGTTTTCAATGGACATCTGAATGTCAAGAGGCCTTCGACGAACTCAAGAAGTACCTCTCTTCTCCCCCAGTGCTCTCCAAACCTAAGGTGGGGGAAACTTTGTACTTATATCTCGGTGTTAGCCCTGCGGCTGTCAGCTCAGTACTAATCCGAGAAGAAGACGGCATCCAACATGCCATCTTCTACGTCAGCAAAACCCTCCGGGAGGCCGAACTCAGGTATTCTCCCGTCGAGAAGACGGTGCTAGCCATCGTTTGGACCGTCAAGAAGCTTGGCCACTACTTTCAAGCCCATCCGGTCCAAGTACTCACTCATCAACCCCTCGGCGCCCTCATGAGAAGTCCCACTAGCTCCTCCCGGATGGTGAAATGGGCCATCTTCCTCAGCCAATACAACATAGACATCCGTCCGAGGCCTGCCATTAAGGGCCAAGCCCTGGCAGACTTCGTAACAGAGTGCACCGCAAGGTCAGCGACAGACGAGGAGCCTTCGGCACCTCTCGATGAGTGGTGGACACTCTATACCGATGGCTCCTCGGCCACCAAAGCATGCGGAGGAGGAGTAGTTCTGATCACACCCGAAGGCTTCCGCGCCTATTATGCCATCCGCTTCTCCTTCAAAGTCTCCAACAACGAGGCTGAATATGAGGCCCTCCTCTGCGGCCTTCGGCTGGCAGCAAATCTGAAGGCTAAGTTGATCCACGTCAAGTGTGACTCCAAACTTGTTGTGGGTCAAATTTCCGGGGAGTACGAAGCCAAGGAGGGAAGGATGAGACAATACAAAGAAGCGGCTAAGGAGTTGCTCAAGGTGTTTGAGGCACATTCTCTCACCCAAATACCGAGGGCTCAAAACTCCGAGGCCGACATTCTATCCAAACTTTCGGATGAATCCCCCGAACACCTCTCAAAAATTGCAAGGATTGAGGAACTTAGCCTCTCAAGCATCCACGCGAGCCCCGTCATGAGCGTTAACCTGAGGCCGGAGGATTGGATCTCCGACATCATCGCCTTCATCACCACGGGGCAACTACCCCAAGATGAGGCCCGCGCGAGATTGACAAAGCTGAGGGCTCCCAGCTACACCCTCGACAATGGGAGGCTCTACAAAAGATCTTACAACGGCACCCTCCTTCGGTGCCTTCATCAGGACGAGGCCGAAGTCGCCATGGAGGAAGTGCACAGTGGCACTTGCTCAGCTCACCAGGGACCCTTCTCCATGTCCCGAAGGCTCATAGTTCAGGGCTACTTCTGGCCCACGATGGCTAGAGATTGTGCTGATCTAGCCCGAAGATGCACCGCTTGCCAACACTTTCAGAAGGCCCCCGGCAGGCCAGCGGTCAACTATGCCCCCATCAGCACCGCTATCCCCTTCTCCAGATGGGGGATTGATTTAGTGGGCCCTCTGCCGAGGGGTACCTCCAACAACCGATACATCATTGTGGCCATTGACTACTTCACCAAGTGGGTAGAGGCCGAACCCCTCGCCAGCATCACGGAGGCCCGGTGCCGTCACTTTGTCCTCAAGAACATTCTCACAAGGTTTGGCGTCCCCCAACAAATCATCTCCGACAACGGGACCCAATTCGAGGCAGCCCCCTTCTGTGCCCTCCTTGAAGCTTGGGGCATCAAGCACACATTCTCTTCCGTTGCCTACCCTCAGGGCAACGGACAAGTAGAAAATGCCAACCGCACCCTTCTCGAAGGGTTGAAGAAGAAGCTGGAAGCCGAAGGGGGAGGATGGGTAGAAGAGCTCCATAACATCCTATGGGCCTACCGCACTACCCCTCGGCGTGCAACAGGTGAGACACCCTTCTCCCTATGCTATGGCTTTGAGGCTAAGGCTCCAACAGAAGTGACCCTTCCGACCCGAAGGGTGGAACAATATGAGCCCGAGGTCAACGACGCCAACATGGCCCTCGACCTTCATCTCATCTCAGAACGCCGAGAGCAAGCTTTCCTCAGGGCCGAAAACTATAGGAGACAAGTCAAAGGCTACATCGACGCCAAGGTCCGCTCCCGGGAATTCCAGGTGGGAGACTACGTCCTCCGACGGAGGGAGGCCAGTCTACCCACCGAAGGAGGAAAGATGGCGCCCAAGTTTGAAGGCCCCTACATCATCTCAGCCATCATCAAACCAGGGACATACAAGCTTAAACGTCCCAATGGGACGGAGGTCCCTAGGCATTGGAATGTGCACCACCTTGTCAAGTTCTATCAATAAGGCGTAAGCGGCCAAGCCCTCACCCTCAGCAAGTGTAAATATCAATGGCCCAAGGCCCCATCTGTTTTTAAAGAATAATCAAAAGGCCAAGCCTTCATCACCTACATATTGTACAAGCGGCCCAAGGCCCCCCCTTTTCTCCTACAAATGAGTGGCCAAGCCCTCATCGCTTCACCAAAAGAGGCCCAAGGCCTCTCCCTCTCAGGAGGGGGAACAACAATTTAGGTACCAAGTACCAAGTGTATGGGTCACCCCCATCACTCTTTGAAGACACCAAGTGTTTTCTCATTAAGCCGTACCCCACGAGGACGCAACCATGCATACATTACGCATACCTTTACATACTCTCATAAAAAAAAAAAAAAAAAAAAAAAAAAAAAAAAAAAAAAAACCGGGGGGTGCAATACCCCTCGGCTCCGGCTGGTACCAAGTACCCCCGGCTATTTGTGTCCCACACACGAATAAAACCCTTCCCAGGAACGCTTTCCGCGCCATCCCCCAAGGGGAGGCAGGCAACGGACCATGTCCCGGGCCCAGGATTCGACTTCCACAAACGAAACGCTCCCCGCGCTATCCCCCAAGGGGAAGCAGGCAACAGACCATGTCTCGGGCTGAGGGGACGACTTTCAAAACCGAGGCGCTTTCCGTGCTATCTCCCAAGGGGAAGCAGGCAACAGACGATGTCTCGGGCCGAGGAAACGACCCTCAAACCCTTCGGGATATCGGAAGGTCATTCCCGAAGGGGGAGCCAACGGTTTATTCCGTTGCCTCCCATATAGGCCAAGCCTTTCCTAGAAACCAAGTTTCTAGATGCCTCTCCTACACCATCCTAAAAAAAAAAAAAAAAAAAAAAAAAAAAAAAAAAAAAAAAAAAAAAAAAAAAAAGAGATGTGTAGGGGGGAAGGAACTCCCCGGATACTATTCTCCCCGGAGGCTCAACACTTCGGAGATACATTACCGAAAGCTGCTACAAATGCACAAGAAAATCTCTCAACATCGAGTCATCTGGCTACATAGCCGAAAGCTTCACTACATAAAGCCTTGGAGTACAACGGTTTCCCCGGAAGCCCAAGAAGAGAGCTCACTAAGCAAAACTTCACCTAAATTTGGCTAAGGCCGAATTTAGGTTGGATCAAAGTCAACTATGTGACATGCCGAAGGCTCCACAAGGTTCTAAGGCAAGCTAAATCTATACCTACACAAACCGGAGGGTTCATACCGACGAAGGCGGAATACTACCAAACTCACTCAATGATGACAAATTGGTGCCCTTCGAAGCAGACTCATCAACCGAAGGATCACTCTATGGGAGACAAATCTCAGAATTTCACTAAGTCCATAATCTCGAACCCCTCGGCAACCATATGTACCGGGGGCTCAGAGCAGTTCTCATACCGGAAGGCTCACTACAACTACTATTGAAATATTGTGGAAATTTGACTAAGTCCGCAATTGGAGACCCTTCGGGAGAAAACGGGGATGCCCTCTTCACTTACAGGGTTGCGGCCGACGGCCCCCCAAGCTACTTGGCCATAACCTAATGCTACGCTACGGTCGGAGGCTCGCCACAACAACGGCCCCCCGGCCATACTGCACTACAATCGGGGGCTAGCAAGGAATTACACTTAGAAAAATTTCTAAGTCCACGAACTTGTGGCCTCCGGGAACACATGCATTCATTCAGAGAAGGGAGAGCATACAAACAAAAGAAAGTAAGGCGAAAGCATACATTCAAGTTCAAAATGAAGGAAGCATTCATTCAAAAAGCCCGAAGGCGATCATTCATTCATCCGCAAGAGAATATTCGAAATACAAATAAGTGTTTGTTCACATACAAGGCCGAAGCCGGAGCCTACCACTATTACATTCATTTATACTTAGAAAATTCAAACTTGGGATTCTTCAGCGGCATCCCCCTTGGCCTTTGAGGCAGCATCATCTCCAGCGTCTTCATCATCATCCGAGGCCATCCCATCAAGCTCTGAATCCTCCAACAGCTGTCTCTCCTCGCCCTCGGGGAGGGGAACCCGGATATCTGGAACTAGCGGAGGAAGGCCGTGGGACTCAGGCTTGAAATCCTTCGGGTCAAGGCCGAGGTGCCGGGCAAGCCTCCGGTACAGCATCGCTTGGGTGAAGTACTGACCCCCCTCATAGAACGACTTACCCTTGCGGGCTAGCCACATAGCCCCGGGGCCAGTTACCCATTCTTCAACGACCTCCGGCACCACTGAGGCCAACCACTCCTTGTGGCCCTCGGTTTTCCAGCCCCCGGCCTTGAAGGCGTCAACAGCATCCCGCGCCGCTTCGGCTGCTGCATCCCTCTTGGCAACCTCGGCGGCCTCGGCAGCGGCCTTCGCAGCGGTGGCGGCAGCCTTCTCAGCTTCTGCTTTCCCCTCGGCCCGGGCTTCCTCCTTAGCCGCCGCCAGCTTCTTCTCCGCCTGCCGGAGGGCCTCCTCCAAGCTCGCCAGCTGCCGAATGGCCTCAGTATTGTTGGCGACCAGCTTTCTCGTAACCTCGTCAGCTTTCGCTTTCTCGAGGCGGTGCTGCTCCGCCCTCCTCACCAACTCACCGAAGGCCAAGCTAGCCTGCAAACAAACAAGGAAGCGACAGGGGTCAGATCATGCAAGGAAAAGAGACACCAAACAAAGTTCCGAAGAACTAGATACTTACAGTGGCCGAAGCTTGAAGAGCCTTGAGCTCGAGGGCTTCATCCCCGAATCGGCTAAGGGTGGACCGATCCACCGAAGGGGTGGCACCCCTCAAGAACTCCCTCGGGTCGAGGGTGCCATGCATAATGGCTGTCCCCTTCTTTATGGGGAAGTGTACGGTTTCAAGGGGCCAGGCACCCTCGACGAGGTCCTCCAAGGGAGCGGAGGCCGACGGTTGGTCGGTTGGGGGATCGTCAATGATTACTACCGGAGGAGCCTTCTGACCGACGTCCCCCTTTGACTTCTTCTTCTCCGGAGGCTTTATGCCCTTCCCGGCATTCTTTCTCTTCAGCTCCCCCGCCTGGGAGCCTCCAGCACCGGTGCCGGCATCAGCGGCTACGACCTCCTGGGAGGGTCCCTGTCCCTCGGGAGCCTTGTCCTTTTTGAAAAAGGAATCGACGGGTGCTTGGGTTGAAGGCCCTTCCTTCTTCTTCTTCTTTTCATCCTTCGCCAGTTGCTTGGATAACTTTGCAAAAGCTTTCGGATCCATAATATCACCTGCAAAGAGCAAAGAAGGATTAGAATCAAAGCAAAAAGGAAGCAAAAATTTTCTAAGTCTCAGAACCAAGAGCCTTCGGCGACAACCTCCGGCATTTTGGTACCCTCGGTCAATCGAAGGATACTTCTCTTCCTTCTCTCCCTCCAACCGGAACCGGCGGAAAGACAAACGATAAAGCTCTTCTGGGAGGGTTGCAGCTTTTATGGTTATCAGCTTATCGGAGCCTGCAAGTTTAGCCTTCAGCTTCTTCCCTGCCGCCTCCAGAGCAGCACTCCCTACTCTCAGATGCCTCCGAAAGTGGTTGCGGAGAGGCCTCGGGAATCCATTCCCCGGCATCCTAACATAGCAGAATCGGTCCCTCCACAATTTATGAGATGAGGGCACCTCCGAGAACAGCCTCCACGCCGGCACCTGCTGGAGGTTGGCGAACCCCTCGCTGTTGGCGGCTCCCCCCCCGGCAGAGATTAAACGACATGAAGAACTGCTCCAAAGACGGCTCCACCCCCCGGCTCCGGCACAGCGAGAGGAACCCGGCAATATAAGAGTGGCTATTAGGGGTCAGTTGGCAGGGAGCCAACCCTAGGAACTTGAGGTACTCCAGTAAAAACGGATGGAGTGGGAACCGGAGGCCCAACTCCACCGAGAGCACATGCACTGCAAAACAACCTTCGGGGGGGCTGGATAGCAGGTCTTCCGGGCCCGGCTCCACCACTTGGGCCGAAGGCCCCACCAGTATCTGCGTGGCCTGACAATCAGAGGGCGTGGCCGTCGTCTTCAAGTCGAGGGCGGCGGTGTTGAGATATGAGTGACCCTCGGGGATCCCCACTGGTTGCCCCGCGTCAACAGCAGCTTTCTTCTTCTTCTTGGAGGGTCCCTCGACGTTCCGCTGCCTCCTCTTCTTCCCCGAAGCTACCCGGAGGGGGACAGCGTCAATCGGCCGGGAGCTGCTCGCTTCTCCAGCGCCTCGCGAGGGCAGGACAGCAATCGTGACTCGTTGCCTCTCCTTCTCCTCCTCCTCCTCGGCTACCTGAAGCGCGAGTGCCATCTCTTCGTCCTCTGCGACCTGTTCGAAGTCTTCAGCTTCGACCTCAGCATGAAGGGTGCTTTGCATCTCCCTCGCCACCTCAGAATCATCGTTACACGAGGCCTCACTGGACGACTCCACGTTCGAGTAGCTCTCAGATTGTGCCGGGGCCTCCTCCGATATATTCTGCGAATCACTGCCGGAAGACATCTCGCTACTAAAGGAGAAGGGGGGGGTCCTAAAGGAAAAGGCTATGTGACTGCTCTAACCGAAGGCCCCTAAGGACGCCTTAACACTAAATCGGCAGGTAGAAGAGCAAAACTTACTAAAGTATGAAGAAAAGGTGAAGAACTGACCTCGAGACTTGGTTTTGATCGAAGTAAAGGGTTTCTCTCACTAGAAAATCCGGCAGAGCTTCGCTAGGGTTTATGAACGCGCAAGACAAATGGTTTCTGGCTTGGGGTATTTATAGGCTCCCAGCCTCGAAATCTGGGCCTCGATTTAGAAAGGCCATCATTACGGGCCGCCGGCTCAGCCAATGGGTGGCACCCGCCCACTTTCGACCAACGAGGACACGCCACGTCAACCCCTCTTCCAACGGCTATATTACAACGACTATATTTCGGCAAAACTGGGGTGCCTTCGAATGGTAGCCTCCGGCTACCACGCACCACGCCCTTCTGCCAGCAAATTTCATCAAACGCCTTCGAGCTTGCGGCAGCGTAAGCCCCCGACTTGTCAATATTATCACCCCTCGGGTTCGCATCAACACATCATAACTCCTTCAGCCCGAACTTGCCTTCGGCCTAAAGGAGTGGGGGACTGGGATACACCCCTCGGGAAATCATACACAACAAAAATTTCTTCATGCAACATTTTACAATTGACGCATACGGCCTCCGGGCAAACATCACAGTACAACCCCTCGGGTACATGCTTCAACATACCCTTCGGCGGTGGCAGAATATCACAAATTCTCCCCGAAGTCACTTGCGAAAATGAAGCAGTCCTCATCACAACACATGCAGGCAATACACCCACGCTTTCCTCAGGAAACCCTCGACATGTGAGGGACTGAGGAAGCCTTCTGCGATCACACAGGTATTATACTGCCCTCAGAAAACCCTCGACATGTGAGGGACTGAGGGAAGCCTTCGGCAATCAGCAGAAGACAAGTTCTCCGGCAAAGACACCCAGCGAGATGATGGAGCCTCCAGAAGAATCAACACATCTACTCCTTTTCCCTCAAGTACCTTTCGGCAAAAGGAGTGAGGGACTCCTGATGGAGTATATGGCCCAGGAACCCCCGGCCCATAGACTCCTACTTCTCCTACACAAGTCCATTGAGCCCAGAGGACATCTCAGGCCCAAATACAACGGCCCAAGCTTCAAAGTAGCCCAGAATACACACTGGGGTGCCTTCGGCCTCCTTGGCCGAAGGCTCCGAAACTCACAGGATAGCCTTCTCTAGCATAAGAAGCTGCTGGGAGAAAACGGGCGAAAACATGAGCCTTCGGCATTCTTACGCCCTCGGCTACACGAGGAGCCTTCGGCAACACGATGAGCCCTCGGCTACACAAGAAGCCTTCGGCTGGACCTAGCCCCCGGCCACACCAGGGAGCCCTCGGCTAACACAATGAGCCTTCGGCTGAACAGGCTCAATCATCGAAGATTCCTTTTAGAGACAGCCAACCACCGCATTTAATGCCACGTCACATCCGCCAACCGCATTCAATGCGGTTGACGTACCACTGCCAGCACCACTAGGCTGATGTGACCCTTCGGCCGTTGGATTACTGACACGTGTCCCCTCATCGCATTTATTGCTGCTATAAATAGCAGCCTATTTCTCCTTGTAATCAACACAATCTGCATCTTACTCCACGCTGAGTTCATTTAATAAAATCGACTCTCTCTCCTCCTATTTGCTCTGACTTCTCTCTAGTTATTTCCGCAATAACCCCTCGGATTAGATACCCCCCGGGTAGACTATCCATCAATACCCTATCGAGTATCTATCAATACTCG